AGTGTGGAGCTGAGGAGCAGAACAATTTCTCATACATATATATACATGCATAAGGCGAAGAAATGGCGTAGCCGGACGGACCAGCTCACTCTCTCCTTATCACTCACTGTCATCACTCGGAATGGAGAGTGTTAGTAGCGGAACAATCGCACTCACAGAAAGCCTTGAAAAACGGAAGTTGGGAGTGCTATGACCAGTGGGCGGGACGCTTGGTCGCGAGCGGACGCTGCTTTCCACACGTATTTTTAGCTGCGCAAGGGTACGTCCTCCATGTTAGCGAACAGAAGTACCTTGCCGTGCCTCTGAATCCCAGAAAAGTCCTTTATCGTTTCCTCGACATGCAAAGCTTAACTAATCTCAGCAAATTCTGAGCATTCTTATGATCACGTCAGTCATAGCGCCCCTTGACTTAAAGCCAAAATTCATCAATCGAAGAGTGGAAACGAAAAAATCTTCGACATTCGGCGGCAGGGGGGGGGGCATTTTGCACTTTCGCTACTTCCCATCGACGTGTCGACCTATCTAGGCGGCCTTTTCTCCAGCTGACAGGTTTTACCATAATGGCTAGACGAGCTCACATGTCTCACCATAGTTTGTCTTGTAAAGCGGAACTAGGGAAGCAGCGAAAGAGCAAAATGCCTACACCCCTCCCACCCCCATCCCGCTCCGTCGCCGAACTCTGCCAAACATCTTGAAAACAATAGTACGTACGGTCGATTGGGCGTGGGACGAAATCCAGGTCGCGGTCCAATTGCATGTGCTGGTCTACGAAGCGGTCCTATAAAGTGCAATAGAACATTTGGTTGAAGTACGCTTCCAATGTCTGAGAAACACGCACTTCCTTTCTTGAGTTTTTCCGTCGCCATCGATTGGACAATGCTTTCAGCTGCTTTGGTGGTTTCACCAAACCACCTGTCTCCCTTTAATAGTAGGAGGTCTAGAGCTCTTTAAAAAGAAACCCATTAACAAGATTTCCGCCTAGAAAAATGTACCTGGCAATTAAACTTGTGGCGAAATGCCTTGAGAAGTGTTTCCAACCCATCAAACCCAAATTTGCGCGTATCTATGTCACTTCCACACAAATCCCTGAAGAGGAACTGCACAATAAATTTATTCGCCAGTTTTCAAACAAAGTAATCAACTCACTTATAATCTTTTTTGATATCAACAATTCTTGCCCCTCCTTTCGTGGCTCTGGTCAAAATCACACTATTCAGCACTGTCACCAATGCATCCAAATCCTTATTCTCCGCCATATTCGCACTAAATATTGAACAATACTTCGGAGAAATAATGCTAGTAAAAGTAGGGTGTTCCAACAGTTAGTAATGGTTTCTTGATTCTTGCATCGATGTTCTGTAGCGATTGAGAGCTCCAGTTAAAGGCAGTTGGCACGATAAATCCCTGAGTAGCAATGATAAGCCGCAGGACGGAATTCCGCGCCCCTGAGCAGGCGCTGCGTAGCGCCTTTTCCAAGGAAGGTGCCTCTATAAGGCCCTATCAAGCCACAACCCAAACGCCCACCACGCCCACCCGCCCACAAATGGGCGACCCGTTCCTGCTTGCTAAGTAAATTATGAAGCGAAAGGTTAGATATGAAGCGGCTGCGGTGCCGCATGGTGTGTGCACACATGCAGCCATACCTACCGTAGCGGTTGATTGGCAAGATGCCTACGGGAAACTCGTCCGAAATTGTTTTTCAAGTCATTAAAAGCGAAGGCTTTTCTTTGCAGGTTTTTGACCGTTTCACTTCGTTTTTTCGCCATTTTCCCCACTATATAGCACTCCTACTGCCATTTTAGACAGAGCAGCAAACTGTTGTGCCAACTGTCTTCAAACAATTTCGCACGAATCACTTTCCAGCCATTACAAAGGTTGTTTTAAAAGCACAAGCGACAGAGGTTCTGACTTCCTCGGGAAAATATTGGAATTCGATCGAACGATGCGCCACTGGCTGATCGAAGGGAAAAGCTCAAGGGAAAGCGCGGTGGTTATCACCTACAACTTCCCAACTATAAACTACCCAACTATA